ATATATATATATATATATATATATCATGGGGCGGCTAACGCTGACGGGGGTGCATGTACGCATCCACCCTTCGCTTCCACCACGGGGGTCCCTTATGGCGAGCCTCTAGGCAAGCCCTCGGCCAATCTTTAGCTCCTTGAACATACACAGCCTAGTCTTTCTGCCCCCAAAATCCTGGATCTTGGTCTTGGTCCAGGAGACCTCTAGGCCCAAGGCTTCGCCTCATTGCTAAATGTATCAAGAACTGCCACCAGTGATTCCAGAGATAGCAACATCGTCGGCGAAGTCGATAATGCCCAGTGTTGTTCCACACTGACTTTGGGTAGTAGCTCTGCTCGTGCAAGTGCTGAAAAGTGTTAGTGCACGAACACAGCCATGCCTCACTTCTGAGTTAACAGGGAAGAAACTTTCATTAGCAGTATATTGGATTCCTATTAAACCAATAATCCTTGTTGGAATTCCCCTAAGTCTCAGGATCTCTCATAGCGATTCGCTATGGAAAGTCGATGTTGGCTGCTAGCAGCTCATGACCAAACAACAAGACAGTGACTTGAAGTGTTAGGATACAATCTATTGCCAGGAGTGAATCTAGACTGCTCCGGCCTTTGTTGACTCAGTAGGCTGTCACGGATCCGTTTCAGAAGAATGTGGGTGAATATCCTGTCTGGTATGCTGAGCAGTGTGATACCACGTTAATTGCTACAGTCCCATCTACCCCTTTCCCCATCCAGAGAGGGATGGCCACTCCCCTCAATAGGTCAAGGGGAATCGAACCAGACTGCCAGATGGCAGTCAAAGCCATATGCAAGCCTCGTGGCATATATTCACCCACAGCCTTTAGCAGTTCAGCAGGCATATGCCTATAGCTTTCCCACTAACCTCAGTTAGGGTAGGAGGTTCCTCGCTGATGGGTGGGTTTGGGACAGGTATTGTGATACCACTTATATCCAGATTAACTGCTGGAGGGTCTACCTGGCACAGCTGCTCTAAATACTCAGGCTAACATTTACGAACCCCAACATGATCTGAGACGATCTGTCCATCCCCTGAGCAGACTGCAGTCACTGGTGAAGAGGGCATAGAGTTCAGTTTTCTCAGGGCTTGGTAGGCAGGATGAAGGTCATTTACCAAGAAATGGCCTTCAACCTCCTCAGCAAGATTCCTGATGAACTGTTCCTTGTACATTCTCAGCCCTGCACACTAAGGAACGAAGAAAATCCTGATTGCTAATCAGTCGAGCCAGGCGACATGCATCTGTGGCATCCAAAAGTAAAATACTGCCTTGTCCTTGGGTATTCGCCCCTGGAGTCCTGCGCATTAAGTGCTTCGTGTTTAAAGGACTCCCACAGAGCTCCTGCGTCCGTCAGGTTTTTAAGTTCTGTGAACCGATCAGAGACTGCCCTGGCAAACCTCCAGGCACACTCCTCCTCCCTCAATCTGTCCAAGCAAAACACCCTGGAATGGTTGAAGTAGACCCGTAGGGTAGCCAAAACCAGTCTATGGTCAGTGCCACTGAACTCGGCATTCCGGTAAACCCTGCAGTTCTGGAGGATCCTCAAGCAAGTGCTGACAAGAATATGGTTTATCTCCTTGACCACAGTACCCGTATTACTGTACCAAGTCCAACAGTGTGGGTTGGAACACTGAAACCATGAGCCAGAAATCCTCAATCTCTGGAACTTACCAAAGTCCCGGAGAAGGAGGCTGTTCTCGCTATTGAGATCAGCTCCCGAGCCATGGGGACCAACAGACACCTCATTAAAGTCACCCAGTACAAAGTTAATGTCTCGCCGGGGACATTTGTCTGTCACAGATGTGTGTTTGGTGTAGAACGCCTCTTTCTCATCGAGTTTATGAACATTGGTAGGAGTGTACACAGCAGTAAGAGACACAAAGACAAAAGCATGCTTGTCTCAATGCCATAATACGCTCGTCAGCTGATGTTACCCCTCCTACCAACAGTTATAAGTCGACTGGAGATGGCTATGCCTATTCCCTTGCACCAGCCCAACCAGTTAATAGATGTAACCATCCATACTGATTGAGCTGCTGCCCGGCCCAACAACCACCTGTGCAGTTCACTTGGGCTTTGCCTACAGGCCTCACACTTGGCTGGCAGCTGTCAGGGTACAGCTGGGATGACTAACTCCGATTCCCATTCTGCATTCCAGCAGTTGCCCTCCAACGGAAGGGCAACTACCTCGCTTGCTAGATGAGAGGGGCAGTACCCTTCCCCCAAGCATTTCCATTTATATTATCGGTTGTCGGTGAGTATATCAGGGGGGAGGATTGGCAAAGTCCACCTCCTCCGAGCCGTACCAGAAATTGGTATGGGCATGTCCATACGCCAGTGGGCCGTGACTCTGTACCTTTAGATCCTCCTGCTACTCCCAGACCCCCCCCCCCTCCCCACACACACACACAGACATGCCTAAATCATAAGGTGAAAGTAGGATGATTAAAATAATCATTTTGTTCTTTATATATTTTTCATAACAAC